ATATGCACCAATCAGCTTTAAGATTTTGCCTTCGTTTTAGATGCCAGTAAAACCATACACTAACGTTCCTGGTATATCTTTCTTCATCTATTAGAGGGATCGAAATATATTCGATCGAATACAGTCTTAAAATAACAGAACTTGTAGATGTTATAGATGTAGGGTACAAAGATGCGGTGTTTATTGATTTTTTTCACAATGACGAGATGCTACTTATATATCGTTCAAAAGATGAATGGTCTGTCTAGAATATTTTTTCCTCATTAGAAAATTCTGTTAAATTAGAGAATCCAGGATTTATAATTGAACTTCCATTAAAAAGTTTTGAAATGTCAAATTCATTCATGGTTGTTGATAAGGATGACCAACTAGTTATTTATGATGATTTGATAATAGATAAATATTTGAACCATTTAAAAAAAAAAAATGATGAACAAGATTGGAAGCAACTATCAAGTGAATATTTTTTGAGAGATGATCTCAATAATAAGATCCGAGATCTTCATGGTAATGAATCAGAATTAGATGAATATTTTCGGATTCTTGATCCCTGGATATTCGGCTCTCCTGATAGTGGAAACTCTCGATATTCGTTCTATCTTGATGAGAAAAAAGAAATATTGCTTTTAATTGGAGAGGAAACGATTCAAGTTTGGTATAATCAAGGTCCTGAAAAAAGATCTCTTGAATTCATTATATTTTTAAATTTTTTTTGCGCCTTACACAAGTACAAGATATTTAAAGATGAAGCAAAGGAATGGAATGTTAACAAAGCAAAAGTAACAGACATTAAATATTGTATCAGAAAATTTGAGCTTAAAATCAAATTCAGCATTCAAAAAATTAACACAGAAGATGAAATTGAGATGGAAACTGAAATTAAAATTGAAGATTATAATATTATGAATGTAGCAAAATATTCTTGCTTCACACTTGAAGTTTTATCTTATGGCAAAAAGGTTGAACAGTTTCTTGATAAAGATAGAAAATTAAAATTCAATGATATCTTCGAACAAACACGAAAAATAATATTGAGATTTATTAAATTACATCCGTCTGCTTGGCGGTTGTTAGATATTCGCTTTGATTTAATGGGCTCTCTTATTAGAGCGAGGGAATATGAACTTGTAAATGATATTTTATCTTTTGGAGAATCAGTTCATGTACCTCAATATTCTTATTGGTCAGGCGAAAAAAATACTATTCATACTGCACTTTTAGGTTTGTATATTAAAATTGTGTTAACTACATGTAAATGCACTATGCATGCTAAATATTAACATTCTACTTGTCAAAGATAATATTATACTGGCACTTTTTTTAGAATACTATTCTAATAATGCAGTTAATAATATTGGATGGATTGAATACTGTTGTAGACATCATACCAGAATTATGCGAAAGTAATGAAAAGGGTGAAAAAGAAAAAGGTAAAAATATTTATGAAAATAAACAGATTTGAAATATGGTTTTCTACAAATTCTCCATAATTATATTGTTGACACCACATTAGTATTATTATTATTATATAAATTTCATCGTATTAACATAGAATTATATGAATCTTTTATAACATTAATCTCCATATAATAGAATTATACGCATTTTATGCTCAAAAATTATTTTATAATCCCTGTTTTGGATTTACTCTCTTTTGAATTTTTCGAAATTTCACAAGAGTCAAGTGATTTATTAAAAGTTCTTATACCTATAACACAATTGATTCCACAAAATTCCAAGTTGGATCTACAAGAGATTGAGTATAATTGTATTAATTCTGATGTTATTCTATTATGTATTGTAAATTAATCCAATTTCACTTTAAATTTACCACAGTTATGACAAAATTGTTGATATTCGGATGGTACATTTACCAGATTTTACAACAAACAAAAGAATATTATCGGACGTACGAGATATAAGAAAAAGAAAACTTAAAAATTTTCTAAAATTTTTAATTTTTCCTAGTCAATATTCATCTCTTAAAAAGGAGGATTACAGCCCCTTTATTAAGTTTATAGACAATGGTAAAAATAATGTTCGTGAGATTTTATATGAAAACCCATCAATTGGTGCAGTAATGAATTGGATGTGGTATTCTTCTAAATTCTACTGGCCTAGAACCCAGTATCTTTTTATTTTATACTTTTTAACTTATTCAATTATTTCTTGGGCATACGTTGCCCATCTTCAATTAACCGGTGCACTTCAACATATTATAATAATTACAATTATTGTATTGTTTTATTATTTATCGTATTGTCATATAGTGATTGAACTTAATCAATTCTATCGCAAAAGAATACAATATTATTTGGATCTTTTTAATATTGTAGATCTTCTATCAATTATTATACCGATAATTGTTACTAGTTATATTTCGACTTGTTATTATACATTTGAAAATGGGTTTAAAAATGCTGAAAGCAGTGAAAGTATAGTATTTATTATTTTTTTAAGTATTTTAGTTCTTTGGTATGAGTTTGTAAGTATATGTATATTTATTATTCAATTCTGCATTATTCGGATTCTTTTTTCTGCTTTTTAACTATAATTTTCTGCATTCCAATCAGATTTTACTATTACGCACCCGCGAAGGTATAGTATCTGTTAATAATTCTTGATTAATAATTTAAGCTTATATGCAACTTATAATTATTATATAGATATGTAACTTATAATTATTATATATATACAATTTAGGCTTTGCACAGGATCTTAATATACTCTTAAAGATTATCATTAAGATACGACAATTTTTGTTGTTTTTTATTCTAACTGTCATTGCAATGGTAATAATCATCATCTTTAGATGAATTTTTAAATTTTATTCATATTAATACAATCTTTACACTTTAATCATTATGCTGCATTATCAGGGACACGCATTGTGAGATTTATGCTTGAAATTTATTTATAACTTTTTAAATTATAAAATTTTAAATATTAATATCAAATTTGTATAACTAGATTTATTCTCCTTGGTTATTCATCTTATATGGAACTAAATCAATCTTCAACAATGACCGGAGAGGAATCTGATAATCCATTTTCAAGTATTATTGCTGCCATACTTGCAGTATATGATTGGTCTTCAATTTCATTCGATACTTGGAATTTTTGGCCACCCACTATAATCAGTGTAATTGGCAGCTTTTTTTTTATAATTATAATACAAAATGTAATCATTTCATTTATGGGGTATGTTTTCAATCTTATAATTAATATATTAGTTTCATTATTTCTCATTGACTTGTTCCATTTTTTTTAAAAAAAAAAGTGATGCTTTTTCAGATGCAGTCAAAGATAGCAAACGTGGCGTATATCGTTTTCAAATTGACTTTATTCATGATTTTGCTCTTCTTGAAGAATCATTAGAATTTAATGATTTAGATTCTAAATTTAAAGATAAAATTAGAGCCAAATATATCTGTTTTTATGATGATCCATCTATTACGAGTTCATGGAAAGAAAAATCAGAAAAAATTAAATCAAAACCATATCCTAAACTTCCAACCTTACGTAAGAGTGGATTTGAATATTGGTCAGTTGAAAGTTGTGAATTTATTTGGGAAAAGAGCGCAGAAGAAGATTGGATATATGATAGTTTTTAGTATATTCAAAATTAATTTTGAAATAATATCGGATTGAAAATAGATCTAATATGTAAAATTATAATATAAAGTGCGTAATTGTAAAGTGCATAATTGTTATTTCAATATCTCGAAATTAATATAAATTTATAATAAATTATAAAGATTTTAAACCTTATATAGATTTCAAATATATACTTACAGTTTACGGCACACATTTCTGATAAATTTATAAAATATGTACTGTCTATCTTCATTTTTCATCTTACCGAAGTTAGTTTAAAAGAATATAATACTTTTTAATACAGTAACAAATATATTAATTAATTCGTGATCCGTAGTAAATAGTGGGGTTATGTTTACTATGTAAATTTTGCCTTTTTGGAATCTGGAGATGCCCAAAGGAAACCATTTTTCTTTACTAAGTAAACCTTCTTTTCAACAACTAAGTAAAATTGTAGAGGACTTTCTTTCGATCAGAATGGCGGTTTAAACGTTAAAATCGGCTCAGTGGATCGCGAGATATAAGCATTTTAGCCATGTTTTCTTCTTTATAAAAATAAAGAAGTCGCGAAGGCTAAAATGCTTATATCACGCGATCCACTGAGCCGATTTTAATGGTTTAACCGCCGTTCTGACCGTAGGACTGTCCTCTACAACTTTACTTAGTCGTTGAAAAGAGGTATACTTAGTAAATAAAAATGTTTTCCTTTGGGCATCTCCAGATTCCAAAGCATAGTAAAAAACATATAGTAACTCCCCACTATTTGCTATTTAAAAAATTATAAATTTTTTTAATAAATTAAATAATATTTCTCTTTACACTTTGCACTTAAGGTATAATAATATTATTACTGTTTTAAATTTAACTTAAGCAAGAAATTTAACAAATTTAAATTGTTTAAATAATTCTATTATCACTATTGTATCTTCTTTCTAATCTTAATTCTTTTGATTATTTGAATACTAGGCAACTCCAATTTCTTTCCCTTCTTCTTCTCTAACTTTTTATACAAATAACTATACTTTATTGGAAAATTCTATTGGTATCAGGATTTATTCTGGAATAAGCACTATTAAGTAGCTTATTTTAGGTTTTATATTATATAAATATTACTTATTAAATATAGTAATTCCAACTTCTGTTGATCATTAATCAAAAATAAATTATTTTTGAAATTTATAAGCTGAAAAATATATTTTTATTATTTTGTTTATTTTTCAAGTTAACAATAACTAATTAAAAAGTTTTATTATTAGATAAAGTACAAATTTTAAGAACCCTTCAACTTTAACTCTTTTTAATCAATTAATTTTTTTCTATATTTTTTTTAATTAGTTAATACTTTTTAAATCTATAGAATTCAAAATTTATTATTATAGTACTATAGCTATTAAATATTGATTTATGACACTTTGTTTTTACAACAGTAAGTGATCATCTAGATCACGTAAGAATTCTGTCCATCCGCTTCCGTGATGCTGATTGGTAGAATATAGTGCATATATAAATTTTTTATGCTCCGGACTTATACTGGTTTCCAGTTACTAGTACTATATAGCAATAATGACTATAATTAAATATTATATAATTTAAGCGGTGCAAAATTAAATAATTAGTTTTTTGAAAACTTTTAACAAATTTTTTATATATGTTAAGTAAAGCCCATGTAATTTAGAGTTAACACCGGGTATATTGTTTAATATTAAACTTTCTGACATTGACATTTTTCTTTTGAATTTATTTTCTAGGAATTGCATGACTTAGGGTGAGACCCACCTTCGAGTGTCGCCGTTGGTACTATTGGAGAAGATCCTTTTCATTGGCAGGCAACAATTATGGGTCCCGTAAGTGGTGTTTTATACCCGCATTCATTAAATTATTTAAGATGATTGGAATTTTTTTTTTCGTACGCACTAGCCTGAAACTCCATACGCTGGTGGTGTATATTTTCTTGCAATTGCATTTCCTAAAGATTATCCATTTAAACCACCAAAGGTATTGTCACTTTCTAATAATATGTAATGATTGGCATTTTTGTCTAACATAAATAAAACACATATATGTGCATTATAAGGATTATTTTACAACAAGAGTTTATCATCCGAATATAGGTATTAATGGAACTATATCCATAGATATTCTAATGGACAACTTGAATCCTTGTCTTACCATTTCGAAAGGTAAATATATCCATTTATGTAAAATATATTGTGACTATTTCTTCTATATAAATTTTAATATACGTTAATAATTATCCTTTTCAGTGCTTATATCTATTCAATCGCTTTTGCCTTCTCCTAACCCAGGTATGCATTAACCTTATTTTATCAAACATGTCGTACGCATACTAAAGTAATTTTTAATTATAGATGATTTACTCGTAAGCGAAATTGCTCATGTTTACAAAACCGACCGCGCTCGTTATGTAGCGACAGCACGAGAATGGACGCGTAAATATGCTAGTAAGTAGATGATTAAGATGGTAAAATCTTTTTTGCGCATGCTTGCTTGCATCTTGCTATTTTACCTCTTGCAGTTTGCTTCTTACAAATTGAATTCCATTTAAACCAAATTAGTGTAATACGATATAAGGGCCAAAGGTTGGCAACGCAGAACTTTGGTTGCTAAATTTAACGAGTTCTATAGATATAAAAAGTATTA